AGATGACAGAACAAGGAGCAATGGTCTCAAGTTGCAGTGGGGGAGGTCCAGTGTTGCAGTATGTGTGGGGCCCACCTCTTGTCCTGATCTCCAATTTTGCAGCCAAAATAAAGGTGATAGGCTTTCTTAACCATAGTGGTTATACTGCGCTTTTGTGATACAAAAGTCACTTCACCACAAACATAGCAGAAGTTATCTGCACTGTTCACACAAGTACGAGGCATCTCTGCTCACTTTGGCTAAACAGAAATGTGTCCCTTTGCAAAATCAAACACTGACAAAGAAGAGAGCATGACACTGGATGATTTCTAGAGCTGATATAGGGCAATTTTTTCAGCAGAGTGATGTAAGCTTCGTTATGATTGCATCATCCATGACTTCTAGGAATAACATGATGCAATTCATATCATGTATGACCCAATACCAGCTTCAGATTGCATCATTCATTGTTTTGCCTAAAAAGCAAGTACTGTCCAAACCCAGTCATAGATTTATTCATAGATCCAGTCAAAGGTGTATTTTAGTCATTTCTGGTTTAAACTGAGATCCCTTCCCTTTAGAACTCACTTATCCTCCGCCATTCCCAAGTCAAGGGTCGTATATACTGACCCAATAGCATATCTTGAAAACTAGAGCCAATCAACAATTTTAAGCATCATTTTCGTTCTCAATGACCCAGAATTAGTAAAGTTTGACTACATTTATTTCAGAAGCATTTTGGCTGTAAAGCAGTGATACATGCACTTTCAAACGTTAAATTTTAGAAGTTGAATAGTTTCCCTAAGCTTCTAAAATACCTTTGTATCCTCCACTGAAATTCTGTTTTCATATCTCTTAAAAGAATAGTCCTCAACAAACAACAGATATCCCAATGCCTCCTTATGGTGAAGTATACTAAGTGGATTTTTCTTTCTATTTCCGCTTTAGGAAAAGCATACTGTCACAAAATTTTATATATGCCTGGATTTTACCCCATTCTACACTTATACCAATACATCGTGGGGTATGTCTTCACTACCTGCCGTATCGGCGGGTAGCAATCGATTTATCCGGGATCGATATATCGCGTCTCGTTAAGACGCGATATATCGATCCCCGAACGCACTCACCGTCGACTCCGGAACTCCACCAGAGCGAGCGGCGGTAGCGCAGTCGACGGGGGAGCCGCGCCTGTCAATCCCGCGCCGTGTGGACCCCAGGTAATTCGATCCAAGATACTTCGACTTCAGCTACGCTATTCGTGTAGCTGAAGTTGAGTATCTTGGATCGATCCCCCCCAGTGTAGACCAGCCCTTGTATTTAAAATTAAGTCCTAAAAATAGGGTTAAAACAAATTTGTCACTACGAGTGAATTTGAGAGGTCTTGGTCACTAAGAAAATATGATGTTATGTTTGAACAACAGACAAGCAGAATATATAAGTTATTCTTGCTAAAACCAATTCTCCAAACTGCTGCCAAACAGTAGTGAGCAGCTCTGAATGTATTTAGTATATTTAGTGGATGGACAAACTTCAGGTTTGTATTATCAACCTGAAAACCTATAGTTTTGACTCTTTAGGATACCTTTGTGGCTTACCAAGAAGTTTATTCCTATTACAAGACACAATATGAATGCAGTAGAATAGAGTAATAACAAAGGAGCTCAGTCAAATTGCATATCACTCTTTAGATCTATATTAGGCTTCTTTACATCTTTCCTTCATAAATTATTTGATTATTATTGACATATGAGTGTTTACTTATTGTCTATATTTAGACACGTAAAGATGGCAAAATTATAACAGTTGTTTTTGCTAAGAGAAAAATTATGTTTTATTTACCTTCTTTGGAGCTGATGATTTAGAAGCCAAGGAAAAGCCATCCAGAATTTTGCCAATATATCTAACTTCTTTCTCCATTCCTATAAAATGATTACAGAATTAGTCATAACTTTCAAAGCCAACAACTAACTTCATAAACAGGGATATTCAACTTTAAATTTTTTAACTAAATAATTTCAAACGATTCTATTTTCTGATACAGCATCCTTTAATCAGTATGTCCTGATATTTTTTAATTCCTTATTAAAAACCTTTACAGTTTTTCTCAACTTGTGAATGATCAGCAATAACTAGTACTACTATGCATTGTATAATACAAATAGAATATGCAAAAGTTACCACTGACTTTCATATCCTGCATAATTTTTGCTTAACAACAATCCCTGAGGCATGCCTCTCTCATTCAGAATCCATCGAAGCCTCCACGGCTGTGACTGGCTATACACTATGTATGTTGATGGAACCAAATTCAAGCCAATATTGATGGAATCAATTTCATTTACGAAAGAAATTCAGAAGTTTATGTATGTACATTACATTAAATCCAAAGATGGTACTTTACCAAGTGCTGCTTTGCATGATACATGGCAACATGATACACGTGATCCTACAGCACTTACTCATGTGAGCAGCCCCACTCAAATCTCCAAGACTACCCATATTAGTAAGAGCGACAAAATCAGACCCTATATTTGCAAGTAAATTACTGAAGGATTCTTAAATATTCATGCATCTTTTCTGACATTAAAACTACTGTGTTAGTTATCACGGTCTAGTATTAGTTCTAACCTAGTGCACACAGTATTTCTGAGATTTTCAACCATAACCACTAATGTTAGTGGTGAACTATTATCACTATTAGTGGTAATTATTTTCCTCTTACAACTGCCCTCTTTCGTAGTAATTTTGAGCTGTATAATGCTAATGTAGTTTCATATCTATTGCATAGGCAACTTTCATCCTGGCATTTCCTAACTTTTGAGTGCTTTTCAACCACGATATTTAACATTTTTTCCATATAATATTTTATACCTTGGCCATGGACAATTTTGGAATAAGCTCTCTTAACATCATCTGTATTTTTATAGTGGTTTTGCTTTTCACTTACTATTTTTTCTGGAGCAAAAAAAAAAACAAACAAACAATTTTTCAGATAAATACATGACTAAACTGAAGAAAGCAGAAGTTTTCCATTTAATCTGCTTTTGAACTATAAGTAACGGTAATGGAGGAAACTAGGTGAAATATTGAGATCTCAGGGCTAGAAAATATCAATCCTTTATAAATGAGCATATTTGGGAAATAGAGGTCAGCATTCTTATATACATTATAAGTATAATTATACTGAAACTTCAGATCTATCTATAATTCTTACCTTTCTTGTCTTTATACTGCTTAGGTGCAGTCCAACCATACAGCATATCTCCAGGTTCCTCATCTTTCAGAACTGTATCATATTTTGACAATGTTTCAGTAGCATATATATCATCGTCGTCTTCTTCCAAAGCTCCTACACCAAAAGCCTAGAAAATTTTTTTAAATTAAAAATGGTTAGAATTCTACAGTGTCAAAATATAACAGTTCTGTCTTGAAAAAGTAACATGTCAGAATATGTATATTTTGTCTCTGAAATTAAAATTACATGTTTGGGACCAGTTTAGTAACTTTCATGTAGCAAGTACTATACCCTGCCAAATGGGAGACCAATGATCAAAACAGCAAGCGTGTCCTCCAGCTCCTCCAGCAGAGAGGGACTGGGACCACTATGTCAGAGGCATGTTTGGTTTATAATCGGCAGGATTAGCTATATAACACTGAACAATGTATCCTGCCATCTAAATACGAACGGCACTAGTTGAGCTCTAAAGGAAGAAAATAATATGCTGACAGGAAGCCTTTAAAGAGGAGAAGAACAGCGTAATGGGAATAAATACAACCATATTTGACCATATTTATTTTTTCCCAAACATCACATAACTTGACAATGTTCCTCCTGTGTGAAAACATGAATCACAGGGCATAGTGCTAAAGGGAAATTGAATGTAGCTGACAGAACCTAGCGTTGGAAGGAAATGGCCAAAAATTAAACATCTTTGGTTCACAAAAAGCTCATTTTACTCCAATTGGAGAAATTTAATGTTCACTTTCATTTTTACTTACACCACACTCATCATGATATTATTACATTACACCCATTAACTAAGCCATATAGAAGCTTCATGGACTCAACCATGTCTTCATAGCAAGCCCGTGTTAGCAATGGGAACAGAAGCAAGATAACCTGCCTCCCAGTCCTGTTCTCAAACCACACAAAGTTTCTTGCGATCATTCTACAGTTTATGAGTATTTTCCATCTCATGGAGAAATAAAAATCAAATTGTCTACATTTTATTCCTCAAAAAGCCAGGAACAGTAGGAAAAAAAAATGAGACTACCTTATGAAAGGGAACATTTAATGAAAGCATTGCTTCACATTGATAAGATAGTGTGATTTTTTTTCTACTGTTCCTGGCTCTCTGAGAATATGAAATAACACTGTAATAACAGAAATATCTACATTTACAGCAAAAATTGCCATTGACTTAAACAGAAGTATTGCCTGATTACGGACTAGGAAGCATAGCATCTGGCCCTTGCAGATTCTACTGCAATTTTAAGAGTACTTTCAATGTAAAAAAGGAGAGTAGTGTATACATTTGTTTTATTCCACTCTCCCACAATTTCTTTCAATCACAATATTAATATTGGAATGTCATGCATAATGTAATAGGAACCAATGATCCTTGCCTCTTTCAACCAATAAAAATATATTAAATTCAAGATTCAGGCTGACCCTGTTTTTTGGTGTTTGGTCCATTTTACCTATCTGTGCCTTAGTTTTCCATCTCAAATTTGGTATACTACTATTATCCCACATCACAAGGTATTATTAAGATTTAATTCATGATCTCTTTCAGATTCTCAGAGAGAAGGGAACAGAGTAGTACAAAGTATTATTTTTAATTACAGAAATGGTATTTTCAATTTGCTTTAAAACTTTGTTTTAATTCCATTTTAGAGAGATTTTAAGACAAACATTTATTTCCTATAACTGGCACTGCAACATAGTATATACAGTAATGTTTTACCTGGCCTGAGATACCCAATTTTCTTCCTTTACTATGTCTCAAATCACCAAGTAGATTACTTGTCTTTTCAGAACCATCAGTAAAAAGACTGGGGTGTTCTCCTGAAGCCCCAAACAATGCTTTGGTGGGGTCTAGACCCTTGTAACCAAGTCCATGGACATTCTCTTTAGGAGTCAAGTCTACAGGCATTACATCTTTGGGTGCAAACGTCACATTCTCTGGCTGATATTCATCCTCTTCATCCTTTTACAAAGTTAAAGTAAACTACAATAAACAAACATTAAACTCTGTACAGCAGTATAAAAATGTAAGTTCCACAGCAACATTTAGTTAAGATGAAGTCCAATTCCGAAAAAGCTTAAGAGTTCTCTAAATACATACTGATATCACTTCACATGCCTGACTAGAAAAGGAGCTGTTCTAGGTTTACCTTAACCCAACCATTAATATTCAGAAGAGCTCTGTGTACGTTGAAAGCTTGTCATTTTCACCAACAGAACTTGGTCCAGCAAAAGACATTACATCACCCACTTTGTTTCGCTAATGTCCTGGGACCAACACTACAAATATTCTTATTCTAGTCATATAATAGATTTTTTTTGTTATACATTTTTACATATATTGAAAGTTATACTTTAAATATAACTTACAAATACTGTTTTTTATATAAAAAACAGTAACTTTTGCCTGCATAATACCTCAGATCCCTCAGATCCTTCAGGTGGTAGCGCACAGCCATATACTTTTACTTCAGGATCTGTAAAGACATAACAGCACCATACTATAAAGTTACAATTCTTCAGTAAGTTTCTCTTAGTTACATTAAAAAAATTAACCACAGAGCAAATGAAAGGTTTTTGACAAGATCTTCTCAATAGCACAGAGAAGACTAGAAACTACATTTTCCATGACTCAAAACTTAATTGAACATACCAGGTTTTTGTTTGCGTGGCTTTCTCTTTACTCGAGGTCCAACTCCTTGTCCTTCTTTCCAGCCCATTTTTCGCAATAATTCAACACCAATAGTTATTCTAAGAGAAAATTAAGAACAAAACATTTATGCTGACAGCCTAATTTAAAAATATTCATGGTGAAGCTCCTGAAAGCTACACATTCATAACAGGATGGGCCAAATTTTCAAAGCAGTTTTCTGTAAGCACAATTCTTCATGTATTATCATTTGTACCTTGCATGCAGAACTGCAAATGACAGTGTGCGCAAATTTGCATATGCAAAACAAGAAGGCAGGTGGAGGTCCCTTTGAAAATGCAATTTTATATATTTTGCAGTAATTTGCACTAACTGCAGTAGTCAGATATTCTTTTACTTGCCAATACAGCATAGATGTTTTGGGAATGAGGCGCTATATCTACTCACTTTGCTGGTGCTATTAAATCATCCAGTGCAGTGGCTCCTGGAATGGATGCAGTTACCCCTGCAATCTGCCTAGCTTTTTCTTTTATTCTATCTTTGGGTTTGGAAGCAAAGTCATCTGTCGTTGTAATTTCTTTAGGCGCTATCCCATATTCACTTAGATCCTGAAAAAAACACACACAAAATGGAAAAATTCTAATTAGAAATAACTTTTCTTCAAATATAGACTAATATTAAAGATGACCATCCAAGGAAAACCTGGAGTTTATGCCCTTTATTTTGGCTGGGTTTTCAAAGGCACCTACAGGAGTGAGGTGTCCAACTTTAATTAAATTTCAATGGAATTGGGCACCTACCTCCCCTTAAGCACCTTTGAAAATCACAGTCTTTATTTACATATGTTTCTTTATAATGGAGACCTAGAAAGTTTTGTTTGCTTTCTGTTTCGTAAGGTTTTTCTTTTTGTTTGTTTTAAACAGGTCCTACCTAGAAGACTCTTAGTTAAACAAAATAGGGTTTTTAAATTGCCTACAAACATTCAAGGGCTGAAACTGCTCCCAACTACACCCATCAGCCCTCAAAACTATGCCAGCAAAACTAGGGATGCTCATATTTTACATCCTAATATTTCCAAGTTAAGAAGTAAGCAGAACCCACCACTACCAAATGCACACTTGTCCCTGACAAGATTAAATCAGTTCTTTGATGAAGATTTAAAATAATGGATCATTCTTACACATTTCTTATTAGTACTATCTACAATAAAAATGATTCTATTATCCATATCTACATAAATTCATGCAACAATATACGTAGTGATAAAATGCCCAAACATCTGAAGTATTGTCATGCCACAACTTTTTGTATAATTTTTGTAAACTTACCTCTTCATCCATAAAGTCTTCTGGTCCAAGGACTGTTTTGTCTGCTCTCTTCTGACGTGATGACACAAAAGTTGAAGGGGCCCATCCTTAAAAGAAAGCAAATCTTTAAGAAATGTATAAAAAGAAACTCTAATATAATGTATGAACGCATCAAGGAAAAGGTAATATGTTGCCATTTTGCCATTCTATTAATCAGAAACACATTAAGGACACGCCAACACAACGTGATGCATCCATAAGGAGAGCATTCCAATGGTAGCATCTTCAATTATGTTTATTTTAATAGAAAAGTATAACTATTTACAGTGAACATCAGCAGAAAAAAATACATAATACCAATTTACATTTGTTTTCCCAAAAACAAATGTAGTGGTGTTATGTTTTGATAATTTATTACTACAGTTCTTCTCCACGAGAGGAACTAGCTTCAGACACAATCTCTGACCTTCCTTTGAACCAACAGTGTTGAAGTAGCCAGCAGAGAAACCACCACTAAATGCTCCATGAAAACGTTTGTATCGTCCCTTTTCATCTTTAACAGTCTGCTCTTGAAGAGGAACTGGCTTCTTAATTCGTTCACCTACAAATACAAAAAACAGGAAAATGAGTTAACCCGAACAGAGAATCAAATCCCCACTCTTCTCAGTAACTATTTGTTCCCCACAGGAATAGCAGCCAACTCTAAAGAGGAAAGTGACAGCAGTTCAACTGTGCATGTCAGCACTACATGCTGCTATTTAAAACAGGAACTGAGAGAATAAGAAAATAAAAATAGTGATGAAGAATTTCTAAATCCTAATCCCAGTCCTGACACCAACTTTTTCCATGGCTGTGGGCAAACCACAAACTATCTGTCTCCTTAATATCCCAATCTGTAAAATGGGACGAATAATATTTATTTTCCTATTTTAGAGGGTGCTCTAAGCACTGTTTGTAAAGCATTATGAAAATTGCTAAGTTTTATTAACATCATATCCAACTGAAGCTTTAGGAATTTGGAAGGCAGAATATAACTATCCAATTTTGAAATTAATCGAGACAGAGGTTAACTAACAACACTATCATTGCAAACAGTCAACAGGATCTTTAAAAGTCAGGGCTATCTTTAAGTGGTCAGAACTTCAATTGCATGACACTGCCAAAAGATAACACTTGTAATAGCACCATCCCCCTAAGAAAAGTCAATGAGGCTCCGTACAGGTGCAAACATCTGCTGCATACAATCTATTGCAGGATCATGGACCTTGAAATATTTTATACAACTAACTGTGCTGAAATCACACTTTAACAAGATGACTTCAAGGGAACTGAGGGATTTGCATAATAAGCACTTTTAAAGTGTATATATAATCTCCTTTTTGTGTAAACTCATTGTTGTGTGTAAACTCATTATTATTTACTGAAAACCAAAAGTGTGCTTGGCTTGGCAAAAACATGTAGAATACTGTCATTTCTCCAAGAGATTTATATTCTCAGGGACAGACAATTGAAAAATTGCTGTATGCAGTGCTTTCTGCCCACTGACTTCAACACTACCCACCATTAAGTGTTTGCAGGATCAGGCCTCAAAACTCTTGCCATGGCCTTTAAAGGGCAGGATTCCTACATTATGCAAATATTTACCATTGAAATATAATACTGTACATATATAATACATGGGATGAAGGTTAAACATTCATGTGGCCAGTGCACCTGTGCATGTACATGCATGCACACCCACCCACCCACAGCTGGTTACATGCACTCTGTGCTTTTGATGCTAGGATGCCTATTTACACCCAGCTGCAGGGCAGTTTTATGAAACTGGATATAACGGAAAAAGTATTGACCCTGAACCTTATAAGGCAATAAGAAACCGTATTAAATGAGCAACACTGTATTTATTCCTTGGGTAAGAATCTCTACAAACCACAGGGGGATTTTACTGTATAGAGTCTAACTTTTACAACAATTAATTGCTTTCTACTTTTATCTAAGTAAATAACAATGAGGGCTTTCACAGTTTACTTCCATCAGTTCTATTCCAACATTTATGAGAAATATAATTCTGTTACAAGACTTTTGCTGTATCAGCCATGCACAGTGTTTTTGGTTATCTGAGTACAGAAGTGAAAAAAAAAAGGTCAACTTTAATAAATATAACATAGCTTTATTTTTAAAAATCTGAACACCAACAACAAGGCTTTACAGAAATGCATGGAACTTCCAGGTCATTGAAACAGTCTGAATGTACTGAGAACTGAAGCCTTAGTGCTTCAATGTTGCCAGGATTTTTGATGTTCCATTTAAGCACAGTCATTTGAGAACTTGACCTAGCAGTGACATTGTTAAAAGAGATACTGTCAACCTTAGGCCTTGTTTACACACAAAATTTGTACAGCTTTAACAACCCTGGTATTATTAAAGAAGTACAAGTAGTCTAGCTTATTCTTGTACATGAAGGGAAATAAACTATACTCACATAAAGCATCTTTATACCAGCATAACTGTGTTCACATTATGAGTTGCACTGGTATAACTATTTCGGTAAACAAAATCACAATCGTAATTGAATTTGTACAAAATCCTTGTGCAGACCCAGGCCTTAATCACACTTGTGTCTGAAAACGGAGGACCACCTACTGCAACAAGAACAGGAGTACTTGTGGCACCTTAGAGACTAACAAATTTATTTGAGCATAATCTTTCGTGGGCTACAGCCCACTTCATCGGATGCATGCAGTGGAAAATACAGTAGGAAGATAGATATATCTATATCTATAGATATATATATCTATATACACACACACACAGAGAACATGAAACAATGGGTGTTACCATACACACTATAATGACAGTGATCAGTTAAGGTGAGCTATTATCAGCAGAAGAGAAAAAGAACTGTTTGTAGTGGTAATGAAAATGGCCCATTTCCAGCAATTGACAAGAAGATATGACAAACTGTAGGGGGGGGGGGAGGATAAGCATGGGGAAATAGTTTTACTTTGTGTAGAATCATAGAATCATAGATTATAGGACTGGAAGGGACCTCGAGAGGTCATCGAGTCCAGTCCCCTGCCCGCATGGCAGGACCAAATACTGTCTAGACCATCCCTGATAGAT